GCAGAACAAAACAGTAGGGACCCTTTACTGTAAGCTTACACAGAGGCAGGAAGGACAACAGAAAGCCAAACAGCGTGGGGCACTTGGGAGGCAGAAGCAGGCAGACCTGTGTGAGTTTGAGGCCAGCCTGGTCTACAAAGCAGATCCAGGACAGCCGGGACTGTGAGAGATGACGTCTCAAAAAACCAAAAATAAAATAGAAAAATAAAAAGAAGATGAAGACGAAGAAGGAGAAAAGGAATGCCAACAGAACCGCCTGAGGAAAACAGCAATATTCTTGAACTCTAAAAACATCCCAGTAACCCTCTGGCTAAAGCTGGGGGTTGCTCTATTGCTATGTATTTTAATGCTAATTACTGGCTCCCAAGATCTGATCCCTTGGGGATCTGATCCCTTGGGGCTCAGTGGTTAAGAGCGCTGTGTGCTCTTCCAAAGGACCGGGGTTCAATTTCCAGCATCCACATGGCAGCTTACAACTGTCTGTAATGCCAGTTCCAAGGGATCTGTCACCTTCAGACTAATGCACATAAAAATAAAAAATAAAAAAAGATCCTGCCTCAAAAAAAAAAAAAAAAAAAAAAACAAAAGATTAAAAAAAATAATAGTAAGATCTGATCCCTGCACATTCTCATGTGTACCTGTCCTTCGTTGTGTAAACCTTGCTGCACCTAATTTAAAGCTGATTGGATAATAAAAAACGCTGAAGCTTGGGATTTGGCAGAAGAAAGGGAGGTAGAGTTCGGGGTTCGCAGAATGACGAAGAGAAGACAGGTTCAGGATTGGAGGAGAAGGAAACAGATCGGCCCCTTGGGTTAGCGTGGGGAAGGCACACATGGCAGGATCAGCGTGGATGGAGGATGTGGAGAACATTAATAAGTATTTTGGACCATGGATGGGAGGTAGCTCGAGATTAGGGTTGGGAGGTAAAGTTAGTTTAGAAGGTTAACATCTGCAGTGCCCCTGGCAAAGGCTAGTTTATAAACTACAACAGGTGTCTATGTCTTTATTTGATTGATAGAGGGTTAGACAATACCGCCGTAACAATTGTAGCCTAATAATCAAAGTGTATTAGCCCATACCTTTTAAATTTACCACAACAGCTAGTTAGTTTGGATCTTGTGAAAATCTTAAATTTAGAAGGACAGTTTCAGCTTTAAAATCTATCACTGTTTTCCACACACCCCCGCAGACTACTTTTTCCTGAGGCAATGTTGACGGAGAAGGGGAAGCCTGCCCTCATGTTTGCTGAGCCCAGCCCAGCCACAGGCCACAGACTATAGCTGTAAACTTAGCTTTGGAAATGAAAGTCCAAGAGGGCCGTGGAGTCTTCTCTTCCTTTACACTCACTACTCCCAGTTAATGAGAACACTGCCTTCTGCCTCTCCTACAGCCTTCAGGACTCCCCACAGCTCAAGGCTGCAGGAAGGGAGAGAAGAAAGAGAACACAGTTCCTCCTGGGCTGCCTGCCAACTCCAGGCTCCCAGGCCCAGGGTCATTTTCCTGGTGCAGCCGGAGCGCTAGTCAACCCATCTCACGCCAGAGGCTATAGTACTTCCTCAGAGAAACTGACAAGGATGGGGAATATGGTCAATGTCCCAAAACCTAACTGACTGTAACAGAATATAGCACACGGCTTCATCTCAAAGCAGTTGAGAATAAGAGATACACACAAGTTAGGTTTTGCTTTCGGTCTAGGCATAGCCATCCCTCAAGCTTAGAAATGACACTGAGTTGAGGATGGCAACGGTAAAGACAGGAGAAATTCTTTTATTAGTCTCTCTACTTTATAACATGTGCACATTTTCCAACCTTCATTCGCATTTTAATGTTAGCCAATTTTTATGCACAGATCTTAGAAAATTTTGTTGTGAATTGTCTAGCTATGTCTTTTAAAATTGTTGTTTCTCTGTTTTATGGGGGTCTTTCCTTAGCAGGTATGAAGAACTGTATCATATTTTCTTCTAGTTATCTAATGGACTGTCCTATGAGGATCTTTGAACTTATAATGTACAGTTATTATATGTGATGGTTAAAATTTTAAATGGCAATGAATAATGAATTGTACAAATTCGATTTATTAATCATTCTTTTCTCCTCCTGGTGGGGTGCTACATTCATCCAGTGCCGCCACGGGAGACACATAAACAAATCTTTGTGGCACGCATTTACGCATGTATTTCTGTGTACGTTCCTGTATGTGCCTGTGAGGACGTGTAGGGTAGCAGAGTGCTTTGAAGGCAAGCTACCTTCCAGCTCCCAAATATTCTTCGTGTGAGCATGACAAAGACAGCCAGCACCATGCTTTTGCAATGCTTGTCTCACAAATGGGGCCTGGTGACACAACAGCCGAGCTCCTTCCCAGGGCAGACTTTTCACAAGACATTAGCCACAGCCACACAGATGGGCAGAGTTCCCGCTTACATCTCTCCTCAGAGACTGTCAGATTAGACCAGGGCTCAGAAGCATTCAGTCAAGTTAAGTTATATGTAAATGTAACATTCTCATAGGAGCTCAGTGCTTGAGCCACTGAGTGTCACTTTTTAAAAGACAAGAAAACTGGAAAGAAATAAAATGGCACCACAAAGTAAGTGAGAAAACCAGAATACTACAGAGTTTCAAGAAATGGAAAGGTGGTATTTGACAAATGTAGCAAAAAATAATTAGTATCTAAACAATGACACAATTTAAATAAGGCAGAAGCTGTCAACATAAAGAGGCTTTGAAATTACTAACTATGCACATGCATATGGATCACATATGACTATGATAAAATAGAATTGTGGTGGTTTGGATTACAGTGGTCCCTTAAGCAGGGGGTGTAGCTGTTTGATATGATTAGAAGGATTAGGAGGTGTGTCTCCAGTGCTGGGTTAGGGTTGGGGGTGGGGGAGCTTTGAGATTTCAAGTTCCCTACCAATCCCAGGGTCTCTCTCGCTTCCTGATGCCTGTGGCTCAGGATAGAGAACTCTCAGCTACTTCTCAAGCACCATGTCCACCTGTGTGCCGCTGTGCCCCCTGCCACAGTGACAGGGGACCAAACCAATAAAACTGTAAGCAAGCCCCCAATGAAGAGTTGCCTTGGTCATGGGAGCTCTTCACAGCAATAGGACAGTGACTAAGAAAAGAATGAAACTCATCAGTTATCTGTGAAAGTAAAATAATATACCTGTCCTGATTTCGTTCTGTGGCTGTTGATAAAAAGATTCTGGCCAAAAGCAAGTTAAATATAATATAAACAATAGGTTGTTGTGTAGACTCAGCCACAGAGGAAGGTATCATTCGAACCACAGACTAGACCAACAGTGACCTGTCATTACTTTCATCATATCTATAAAAACAATCAGCCCAAAAGGTCTCCTCAAATCAGGTCCCTTTTCTAAAAGCAGTCTTAGCAATTCTGTTAGTCTCGAGAATCATAGTAGTAGGATTATTTTTGGACTTGGCATTCAAGGCAGGTCTGGAGTCAGGAATGAAAGATGAACCACAATGAGAAGTAAAATGAGAGGAAGTTGAGAGTGTATGGGCACAAGCCTGAGACCTCAGTATTGGGAGGCAGGAAGATGGTTACTTTCCAGCCAACTGAAACCCTGTAGTGAAATATAACAGTAATAGCGACGATGATGATGAAGATGATGATGATAATGATTATAATGATGATAGAGTAATTAAAGAGAAGTTTCTTGATAGAAAAAGAACAGGAGACAAAGAGAGAAGAGGCAGGTACTTCCAGGGCTAGAAAGGAGAATTCCTTAGGAAAGAGCAGAAGCGAAGAGGAAAGAGCTGTAAGGACGCAGTCTCCACAGTCGCCTCAGCCATCCTAACCTCACATCGCTGGAACCGGGAGCCCACTGAGCTCACAGACATATCAGCTATCTAACAATTACTGATTTTAAACTATCCATTTTAGAAAATACTGACCCTAGCACGTCTCACTAAACTGAAAGCTATTTTTCACATTTAGATGTAAGCATTTTGTGAAAAGTTGTTGCTATAGGACAGGAGCCTACCGCAGAAGGCATCTGAAAGACTCTACCTAGCAGTGTATCAAAGCAGATGCTGAGGCTCATAACCAAACCTTCGGCAGAGTGCAGGGAATCATATGAAAGAAGGGGGAGTTAGTATGACCTAGAGGAGAGAGGAGCCCCACAAGGACCAAATATATCAGGGCACAGGAGTCTTCTATGAAACTGTTTCTCTAACCAAGGACCATGCATGGATATAACCTAAAACCCCTGCTCGGACATAGCCCATGGTAGCTCAGTATCCAAGTGAGTTCCCTAGTAAGGGGGACAAGAATTATTTCTGACATGAACTCAATGACTGGCCCATTGAGCTCTCCCACCCCCTCCGAAGGAGGAGCAGCCTTGTTAGGCCACAGATAAGGACATTGCAGCCAGTCCTGAAGATACCTGATAAGCTAGGGTCAGATGGAAGGGGAGGAGGACCTCCCCTATCAGTGGACTCTGAAGGGAGCAGGGAGGAGATGAAGGATGGAGGGGGGATTGGGAGGGAAAGATGGAGGGGGCTACATCTTTCAAGTGAATGACCTGTGATTAAAATAAAAAATAAAAAATAAAATAAATAAAATAAAAAGTTGTTGCTACACATAGAATGCAGGGGCATTTTAAAAAACATTAGTCACATTCAAAACCTTAGTCTTAAAATAATATTTAAGTTCATTTGTTGCAAATTATAATCTCATTCTAAGAGTAAATTTTATGGAATGTATTCAGTTGGAAGTTGCAGCTGATAAATGCTTTGACTATCACAGTATATTATCTGTTGTTAAATGGAAATTTTGAAAATGAATTATCTTTTGAAAGAAAAACAGTAAGAGTAACTCTTCAGAGTAATTCTATCTTACAAGCTATTTAAAGAGCAGCTCTGTATTTGAAACATGACATGGGGCATACCTAGCAGAATAACAATAAAATTTAACATCAATAAACTGGAAAAAAAAAAAAAACCTTATTCACTACAATGAAAAGTACGTTACTTACAATTAACAGAGATTTCGGAAGAGAAGTATTTCAAAAGACTTAAAATGCTTGCTCCCTCTAATTCTGGCTGTTCTTCCAACTTGCCCATGAGTAAATCATCCTGCTGTGGACTTTTGCAGTAGCAGAACCCAGTCAGAGCCGTTTTCCTCAGGTAAGAAGTTGCCGCGTATAAACAGACTTCCGCAATAATTGTTGTGTATATGAAGATAACATGTGAGGCCCAGGAAAGGTCATGTGCCTCCGAGTTCTCGACCTGAGACAATCAAAATCAAAGGTACATCTTAGAGGATGGAATGCATTCTGTCCGGCTTAGAAGCCGTGGGCACAGTGCAGCTGGGCCAAAAAGGACGCTCGAATGTTATACACTCACTGTGAAACAAACCCAAAGTTCTAAAGGTACTCATTAAAACTTAGTTTTGGATGGGTGTGTTTTCTTGAAAAGACAGTTCAGAAATATACGTGACTAATACACATGCTAAGCAACAAGCATTCAATTTCTTCAGTAACCAATGGGAAACAAACGGATCCACTGGGGGATGTGTATGCCTGGGAGGTTCCCCAAGTGGTTGTCCGGCTACACCCGTACATGCTGGCAGCTTTAAGCGTGCTCAGAGAATTGAAAAAAGAAGAAGAAGGAGTTGAAGACTATATGAAGTTGGAAAGGGAAAGTGGGAGAAAGTGGGCTGCAAGTAGAAGACAGATTTGATCAAAATAAACTATTTACATGCATGACGTTCTCAAACAGTAAACTAAAAAAGTACTACCCTCCATATTATGTTGAAAAATAATCTTTTCTAGTGGTGGTAACTTTCGCATTCCTAAAAATACAAAAATATTACAACTTTCAGAATAGAAATTGAGCCGGTGTTCCAAGAACCTGTTCACAGAAGCAGGCTCACAGTGAAGTTCATGGAAAAGAGAGGAGACAACCGGGGAGAGATAGCTCGGGGCATTTAAAGGCTTGGTATGCAGCCCTGAGCGCCTGAATTCAGATCCCCAGTATCCAAACAAAACACCCACAGGCGGCAACACAGGCCTTGAGAACTAGTACTAGTGTTTGATATGGAAACAGTGTGTCCAGTGAGCGGGGTAGGAGCTTACCCACCTGTGAGCTTACCAGTCTGTGAGCAACAGGTTCAGCGAGAGACTGTCTAAAAAAACATATCTTGGAGAATGATAGACACAGAGAGAGAGAGAGAGAGAGAGAGAGAGGAGGTAGGCAGAGAGGGATCACAGAATTTCACTAAGTAACTTATTCAAAAGAAACAGTAAAAAAAAAAAAAATGCAGTTAAATTCCACTTATAAGAATTACAGTTCTAGATGCAAAAATCCTGTTGAGGACACCACATACTCTGGTTGTAGAATACAAGGAAATCAAGCTGGAAGTGACCTAGAAGCTCCCTTCGTGATGGCCGGCGTTCACAGTTCCAGGATGCCCTATGCAAACTGCTAGGAGACAGAAATCAACAGCCTTACCCAGCTGCAGTCCCTGGAAGCTACAATACTAATCTGTCAGGCAAGACCTACAGGAGCAACGTGGCTGTTTTGTTTTGTTTTGTTTGTTTTGTTTTGTTTTGTTTTGTTTTGTTTTGTTTTGTTTTGGGCGGTGCTAAACAACCACTTTTCTCATTGGATTTTAGGCCTATAGCACAGAACCAAATACACGCCTGGTGCTGTAAAACATGGTCAAATGTGTCTGTGGCTTATAGATCGTGGAGTTTCATACCTGGCCAAGCGTTAAGAATAAGTGGCAGCTGAGTGCTGTGCCCTCAATAAGATGTACATCTGTAGCAGCCCCTCAAAGGCCCCCAAACACTGTGGGAAGGGGGTGAAAAGACTGTCAGAGCCAGGGAAGGAATACCGTGAAATGCTGAGTTCTGGACACGTGTAGCTGTTGTACTCAAGAAAGCGCCGTAGCTACTCAGTTTGTGGGGGGCAACCCATAAACTTGGCAGCAGCCTGAGATGTTCAGGAATTCCATGGGGGCCCTTTGGCCAACAGCTCAATTAGCCCCGCAACTCGCTCCTGGCCCTGGAGGTTTCACTTGGTGTCAAAAGATGTCCAGCTGGAGCATTTTCTTCCCCTGTTATGTGGTGACTTCATTTATAGTTTTTTTTTTTTTTTCAGAAAACTTGTGCATGTTTTGATTATAATTACAGTTGCCAATTTTGTGTTCTTATGGATTCTAGGTATTTGTGTGTGTGTGTATGTTTCTTGTGTAACTTCTTCAATTTTTTTTTTTTTTTTTTTGGTTGGTTGGTTGGTTGGATGGCTGGTTGGTTGGTTTTGGTTTTGGTTTGTTTGCTTTCTACAGAGAAAAAGGAAGAAAGGATGTGGAGTTGGGTGGATAGGAAAGTGGAAAGGATCTGGGAGGACTTGGGGAAGAAAAAAACATAATCAGAATATATTGCATAATTTTTTAAATTAAAACAAAAAAAGAAAAATCAAACATAAAGAGGAGGGAGGAAAAAAATGACATAAAAATAGAAGTGGGTCAGCATGACTGAGATGGGGTAAATAGGACCGTAATATGCTGTATTCACATACGAAATCGTCAAAAAAGGGAAAAAATAAAAAGAGTTCTAGTTCAATATCGTTTCTTATTAACTGGTCAGAACAAACTTAATATTCAACAATACAAGATGAAATGATCACCTTTCCATTAAAAATGTGAAATTTTCAAACATATTTATAAATGTTATTATAAATAATTTACATATAAAAGAAAGCCCCCCACCAAAATTAACCAGACCCAAAGTGCATACATCTTAAAGAGTGTCTGTATGGTTGGAATGGCCATTTGAATTGAAGCTGTGCGGCTTCACACTGAATGTTACCCTTTCTCCCTCACGGGTGGAATCTAGGAGATAAGGCATGTACATGTGTCAACAAATGCACGCGTGCTTACAGCGTAACACTCAAAAAAGAGAACAAGAGAGCCGAAACATCAGATGAGAAAGGACTGAGTGCAGGTGATGGACACAGCTAGGAAAGAGCGTGCAGAGCTAATTGCTTTTCTAGTTCTCATTCTGTCGTGTCCTTGTTTTGTAGTGATGAGTAAGTGCTTACAAGTAAATGTGATATTGAAAAGCACAAAATTTAACAGATACAACAATACAGAAAAGCATTTATGATAAATAGTGATGTGATGGTAGGTTAATATTCACTCATATTTAATTAGAATTATTACAGATTTATACACATCCCATGCTCAAATATGATGTGTGATTTACATAATGGTGAGACTAAAGCATGTTCTCCTCCAGAACATATCTAAACTGCAAAGTGTCACCTGGTTTGGAGCAGTCAAGATGCTCAAAAGGAAATCTTTCATTAGGTCCATCAGTGTTTTCAAGCAGGCCATGTTCAGTTTAGCAGCTTCCCCCAGGACCAACAAAGCCAGCGCTGAATCCAACCTGGATTGTGAACAAGTGATGAAGACCTTAATGCAAAATGAAGTTAATCACTTTTATTGAAAAAAAAAAAAAAAAGCATTGAAACCAAAGGAAATTAATGTCTGGATTGTCAGATATATTTATTTTCAATGTTGGGTGATTCTGACTGGCATGAATTATAATAAAAGTCTACAGAAAGGGATGATATTTTGAAAGTTGTGTGAATTTAAGATACTGGACTGACAGGGTTGGAGCAAGAAGCACTATAAAACTCCCCCATCTCTTCATGTTCCTGCAGGACACATCAGCCTAAGGCTGGGCTTCCCAGAGGACCCTCAAGTCATTCCAGGAGGTTCTGAGTCCATTTCCCCGCAATGACTCAATGGGGTCAATGTAAAGAATGTATCCTCTTCAAACTTACAGAACAAATGACAAACTCTCTTGGTAAATATTCCCAAACCTCAGTATTATTTTATCTTTTGAAAAGTGAAATATCTCAAAATAAAATGTGTATTTCACAAAAATGAATAAGATAAAAGGCTGGGTTTTTTTTTAATGATATATCAGTGGGAATTTAAACTGAAAGTTGTTAGCCATTAACATTTGCACATAATGAGGTTTTCAAGAACCTATGCATGTTTTTGTGCCATTGTTTTCAGTTCACCCAGCTGAAATATACACAGGCGCAAAGAGAATGAAGAGACAGCAAATGTAAAATTGCCTGCACTTGGGGCTGTCTGTTGCTTGGCTTTGGGTACTTAATAAATTTAACATCCAGTGAATTGAGCCAGGTTAAAGAAAACAACTACACATACTTCCCTTTCATTCAGAATCTAGAACCCCTCCCCCCCACCCCCCTAAAAAAAGACAAGAAGGTAGAAAGGCATAGACTGGGTCTTCTATGGGTGCCTGCAGGAGGCAGGGCAAAAGGATCGAGAGAAAGCAATGGGATGGCAGATACGAGCAAAGCGCGTTCTGGGCTTATAGGAAAGGTTTACAGTGAGCCCATATTTCCTACAGTGAATAAGTGCTAATAAAATGGGTGATGAAAAGTACAAAAAGGAATGCCTTCTGTGAGACAAAGACAATTCGAAACACGCTAATAGGGTTTTACAGATCTCAAGGGGCTTTCACTCATCTTATCTTACATGATTTCAATTTGACAGCTTTGGACTCATCTTTAGACTTTTTAAACACATTTCTTTTTAGCATGACGGACTGTGCACACACGCATGCCTGGGAAACAAGCATGTGTTCTCTCAGTGGCCACCTAACTGTAGCTAGCGTCTCCTCTGGCATATCCTATTGTTTTGCAGTTCATCCTTCTCTAAGTCATTTCTTAAGTGCTTCAACACTAAACCTTACTGTGCCAACTGCTGCCTGCTTCAAAGAGCCCGAATTTCACTCAAGACCGCAAAATGCTTGGCACAGATTTTCCCCTCAACGTGGAATGTCGTGTGTCTTGGATGGAATATATAAGTAGATTTGTCAAAAATGACAAAGCTATATAAAAAATGTAACTGAGATTATATCTAAGTAGATACTATATCTAAGTTATAGCTCAGTACATTTGACTTAAAATTAACTCCTTATGGCCTTGGAGATTGAAAACACTGTGTGACATTGGCTTGGTCAATGAGATAGAAATGAAATCACATCACAAACTGTGGTGGCACACATGTGTAATTCCACTTGATAAGCCGAAGCAGAAGGAGAATAAGGTCAGAGTTAGTCCCACCCACATCATGAGATTGTTTCAAGACAACACACAAAAGGAGACAAACAAAGAAAGATTTCTAAGCAATCTATAATTTTTCCTGTTAATAAAAAACTAGTATATTTAGAAGAAAAAAAAAAAAGAACATTCATCCTCTTCCTCCTGGTGGGAAAACAGAAGAATACCAGAATCTGAACTTCCACACTGTAGAAGCAGCGGTGAAAGTCACATGATTGGGGTGGCAGAACAGGAGTCAGGAGGACCTTGGCATCTATACCACAATGCTTTGCTTGTCCCGTGCAGTCACTAAAGCCCTATCTGATCAGGGAGTGTAGCTGGATTTCTCTAACAGACAAGACCAAATCCCAACCCACACTCAGGACATAGCATCATAGCATGTATGAACATGGACTCCCAAGTCAGAAATATTGCATAAAACTTTAGCTCTGCTACTAAGTACATGCTGCTGACAAATGACGCAGCCCCTCACAGTCATTTTCCCCCAACTCCGTCTTCAGTTACTTATCTGTATAAATACATAACAAATTCTGATAGTCAGCTGGGCACGGTGGCCCAGAGGCAGAGGCAGGTGGATTCTGTAAGTTTGAGGTCAGCCTGGTCTAAAAAGGGAGTCCAGGACACAGAGAAACCTTGTCTTTAAAAAATCAGTAATAATAATAATAATAATAATAATAATAATAATAATAATAATAATAAATGATCTCATAACTTGGATTAAAGCATTGAACTGAATTGAATTACCATTTCTCCAGTGTTTAAGAGTTAGGTTCTCTGTCAAGCCTCAGAGTGACTGAAAGAAGTCCTGTGACATCCCAAGATGAGTGTCCACCCTCAGACTCACCACGCATGCTTCATCGGTAGGCCAAGAGCCACAGAAGACAGAGTTCGGGAGCTTCCCGCCCCACCTGCCCCTGAAGACAGCATGCCTCCTTAGGCTTTCTTTCTTCTGCTCTCTTTCATGTCTGGAAAGCTGTATCTAAAGCAGGGCACGTTCACTGAACTATGAACTGAACACCATCTCAGCACCAGCCACTTCCGGCAGAAAAATGCTGCCTCACGGAAGCGCACGACCTTCAATCAATGCTGTTGACCGAAATACCTTCTACAGGCAAAACTACTTCTGCCAAAAATGGAATAGATGCGCCGATACATGGGAGCTGAAATTTGTTACAAGTCGAAACTGAAAATTGATGCTCACAGAGAGAAGAGCTTGAGTTGGAATGGGCTGAACCTGCCACTACCTTCTTCTTGAGCTCATTAAAAATGCAGAAAAAGTTCAGTTATCAGCAAGCTGATTTAACAAAGCCTTGAAACAGATAAAACGTACAGTATAGGTATGCGTTTTCCTTAAACGTGTAAACAAAGAGGCTGATCCAATTCCTCACACCCACACACATCTGAAAGGAAGTGACACCATCATTATCTAGACCCCTGGGTTCTCTTTGCTTCTCTGAACTGCATTCTCAGCGGCAGGCTGCTCTTCTGCAGAAATGAAATGCAAATGTCTGCAGTTGGTAACGTTCATAGAGGTGGTTCCAACTCTGCCATAAATAGTCCAGAAAACACTGACTATATCGAAATCTACGCAACCTTGAAATCTGGTAACAAAAAAGGTGGCTTCCACAGCACCGTACAGGGGCAGCACGGGCCATAACATGGGTAGACCTCCATTAAAAAAAAAAAAAAAAAAAAAACACTAAGGAACACCCACCAAGAACCACAGCAGCCTGTGTCCCAAAGAGAACTCAAAGAAAAAAGGTGCAGGAAAAAGTAACCACATTCATCATCAGTTTCTCCTGTAATCCACAGAATCGAGGGGGGGGGGAGGAAGAGATAACCCTTTACCTTAGGACACTAGATTTTAAAATGTGTGTGTGTGTGTGTGTGTGTGTGTGTGTGTGTTCAGAATCTTAATTCTGTGCTTCACTTCACCTATATCTCTTCATATTTCCTCAGAGTTAGCAATTTTCAAATGACAAAAAGTCCTCAGAAGTATGGAGAGATGAAGTAAGGAGAAGTGATTCTATGGAATGCAGGAGTAGCCTTTCCCCTTAGATGCAAACTACAGAAGTGAGGACGTGTGGGCGTCCTTGATGACTCCAGTGGCAGGCTCACAGTCTTGAGCTTCTGAAAAGCAGTGCGCCAAAACACGACCTCTGTGGACACGAACAGCTTACCTTCATCCCATTCCACAGGTATCTCAGGGGAAAACTGAACAAGCAGGCTCCCTCGGGACCAGTGGAAAAATATACTACACAAGGACTAAAAATAGGTATCTCTCTGGTTACTCAGAGAAGACCATGACTCCTAAAAATATTTCTTACAGGGGCCCAAGGATGTGGCTCAGGGGTAAGGCATTGGCCACAAAAGTGTGAGGACCTGAGTTCTAATCCCCCAAATCCATGTAGAGCTGGGTGTGACATGGAACACAATTGGAATCCCAGGACTACCCTATAAATTGTCAACAAACTGACAGGATGGGAGGCAGAGCCAGGATTCCCCAGAAGTTTGTATCATTATGCGTAAATTTATTGCTAATTCATTAAGCAGAAAGTAGCAACTTTGAAATAATTAGCTTAATGCCATAAAGAAACACAGGAGTATGTTAACAGGCCAAGTGGATCAGGGTTACTATAAATCTATTAGTCTATCTTCACTCTACGCCAATCAACAATGGGTACACTGTGCTTACCGCTGCTTTGACCCTTCTGGACACACAGTTAAAATAATTTTTTCCCTGCATTGCTTGACTCTTTTATATTTGAAAGAGATGGCTATGTGAAAATTCTTGTCTTGGTCCTGTGTGCTGAGAGGGTTCTTCTGCTGGACCACAGGGCCCTGTCATTCCTGTGGCTGCAGGGAAGCCACTGGGGGACCTAAGGCCCTGTCAGGGCACGGCACCACAGATTCCTACACTCGCTGGTCATCTCTCTGGACACTTTCGGCTGTCTGTATGGCTAATGGCAGTGAATCCAGCCAACAGGAGCTTTCCTTTCTGCTCTTATGGGCATTCCAGCATCACGGTAAGTTGTGCAACGCTGACGGAAGCCGCAGCCCCTGTGTCGTGGAAGGCCGTTCCTTAGTCAATACTGTCAGGCTGAAGAGGGGTGCAGTCACATTTGTGCTGTAATCCTAGCAGCGTGGTTGCATGTGACACGCTATTGATGGAAAAATTTACGTTCGAGATGCCAGTTAGGAAATGACAGCTAGGACTGCACAGCAAGGCTGTGAGGGTGGGAATAGAGAGCAAGGGAGCAAGTGGGAGCTGAAACAGGTGTCTTTG